TTATAGAGGTGGTGATAGAGGAAGGAGCCCGAAGCAAGAGTGGGCCTTGTATTCTTTCCCTCTCCTTTGTCTAATCTCCCTCCTCTCTCCTTCGTCTGTGTATGATTATCTCGTCTCATTCTGTCTGGACAAGATTTTGACTAATGGTAATTATCAGCTGGTTGACATTCTTCTGGACTTGCATTGTTGACGACTGTCTTCATTGCAATTTGGTATCGAAGCAGTTCTCCTGACGACGACGATTGTACACGTGTGCACGCGCCACGTGGCGCACAGGTAAGTGTGGTGCACATGTGTGTTGAGTAGGTGATGACGTGGCAAGAGATACGCCGGGGGTGCTGACGTGGGACATACTTCACTGGCGAGAAGAAGATCCCAACGAGGCTGCTGACGTGGCAATAGGGACCGCGACCAAGAGATACCGAGCGCCAGCCTGGATCGCGATAGTGACATGGCATCGCGATTCCCTGCTGACGTGGCATATGTTGTGCCACGTCTGAAGACCTTGTTGATTGATTGCTGAAGTGGCACTTTTTATGCTGCTGACGCGCGATAGGGTCTACTGCAGATGCTGACGTGGTCTTGGGGAAACACAGGATTGATTGCTGACGTGGCAGGAGGCAAGTCATCACACCTGTCTTCGTCAGGTGGTGACTACCTGCTGACGTCGCATCGGTCTCCTTGGCTGACGTGGCATTGTTTGACTGGCTGGAATGGTGACGGTATCGCGATGTGACGTGTGGAAGTGACAAGTGGCAAGGATCAGAGTACACATTTGCTGACGTGGCATCCCACTATTGGTTGACTGGACACAGAGTGCTGACGTGGCAATACATGCTATGTTGGCACTCCAGGGATGACACGTGGCAGGCAGGATTACTGCCAAGAGAAGCATTCTGAAGACGACAGCGGTACAGCTGACTGAACTGACTATACAGTTGTAGTGCCAGCTGTCAGGGAGAGTGCATCATCGCACTGACTTACTTGTGTTGTGTCTGATCACACGGGCCTGACGTGGTACCTGTACACTCATAGGACGTCATCACACAGACGAAAGAACAACAATTAGTATAAGTAGAGATCTGTTCCTTTTTATTATTTCTTTTTATTTTTTTGTTCAATTATTGCAAGTATTTTCTCAAATCTGATTTCCAAGATGTTTGCTGTGTGGAAATTACTTTTGTTTCTTTTTCCGATGACATTCTTAGCGGGTGAAGGATCTTCCGAACCCAAGACTAGGAGACAGGCAGAAACAAAGAAACAAGAGTTACTGGCCCTATGGGACCAGCTAATGAATGATTTGCGTTTGTCCGGACCGGAATCCGAACGACACGTTCGTAATCTGTTTGATTTGAAGACGATAGAGAACCGTCTAAAGCAAGCAATTACAGCCGCGGAAGTTGTGGCTGCCGGGACCGAAGTGTCTAAAATGATGGCCCAGTGTCGGAAGGCGCTGGACCAGTTTGCTATCAAGCAGCTAGAAGAAGTCATGGAGTTGTCTAGAAAAGGGGAAATCAGACCACAAGTGACCGAGGCTACGATTGATGTGAACATCCAGCAATTAAGAGAGGCGCTGCAGAAGAAAGGAAGAATGAAGAACTAACCCAGAAACATGAACAAGAATTGAGGCGGGAACAGAAAGTAAATGGAATCAGACAAGTAATAGGAACAGAAGGAAAGGAACAGACTGGCAGACGTTGTATCACATCATGACTTACCTTACTTTCTTGGAAGAAAAGATAGATAGACAGCAACGTCAGATAGATGAGATTGTTGTAGGATTGAAGAGAAGAAAGAAGTCAAGAAGTTAATGAGTGATGCAATGAAGTCTGCTGATCCTCAGGATCAGAAATTGTCTACTGGAGGGGGGAAGTCTGCAATGAAGTCCGCCGTCTTCTCCACTAAACACTCCTCCTGCCACACCTCCTTCCTCTCCACCTCCAAAGTCTCTACAAGGTAAGATAAATACGAAACCGAAGAAGCCGAAAAGAAAAGAAAAAGTGAAGATGAAATTGCCTTTTACGTTTTGTAACAAAAAAGATGAGAATTTGTTGCTCTGGATAGCTGAAATTCAGACGTACTGTAGTACGGCCCCTGTTGAACCCGAGTCCCAGGTTGCTTTCTCTACCTCTTGTCTCGGGGGGGAAGCGAAGGAATGGGTTTTGTTCGAGGCTAACGCAGCGGGGTTCGATGATATCGGGGAGTGGGCTGGGACATTGACTCTGAAGCAGTTCCTTGGCAAGATCAAGGAACGCTTCCTGGATAACACAATGGCCGACAAGGCCTTCGACCAGCTCACTACCATTGGTCAAAAGCATTGGACCTCGGTAGAAGCTTTGTCTCGGGAAGTCGACCGGTTGCTGCAGGTTCCTGGAT